GTCCTCATTCACTCAGAATTTGCTGATATAATTTATTCACACAATGCATATTGATTGAGGACCATTATCTGCCAAGAATTTTGCAAGGAGTAAGGTATCTTGATGATCACGGTTGGGGCACTCAAGGAGCTTAGTCCTGGGAGAGAAGCCAACATTCACTAAAGGGACACAAAACTTCAAACTGAGCCAAGAAATGGTTCTCTAAGAGCGTAAAACGTCTCCCAGCCTGCAATGTCAGCAAAGACTTCCCTGAGTAAGTGACACAAGAACTGAATGGAAAGCTCAGGTGTAAAGCTTGGAACCACATTTCCCAGATTCCTTTTAGGGAGGGTCTGGTTAGATCCTGCTAATGAGAAGCACTTGTGTGAAATTTGGAGCTCTGTCCCAGGACTTTGAATCTTGAGCAACAGCTTGATATAAGGGCAGAGGGAGGATGGTGAGAGGGCAGCAATCAACAGGGAAGACACTTGACCAGACACTCCTGGTTATGAGATTATGGCACTGGCTGCCTTCTCTTAGCTCCTAGAGCTGTCCTGGTTCTTGATCATCCTTAATCTGGTTCTACCAGCCAGACACTAGGGCTCTGTACATTCTTGCAAGCAATTCCCTTTTGCTTAAGGTAGCCAGAATTAGCTTCTCCTGTTTGCATCCATCAAGTGGTTTGGTCTGGTAGCATGCCACATTGCTCTCCACTGTGCTTATATTTAGAATTATGCATGTCTATCTCGCCAATGAGACTGTCAGCTTCTTGAGGGACTGGAGAATATCTTATTTCTCTTTGAACCTCCAGGACCTAGAGTAGTGGCTGACTGACACATAGGAAACAATCAGTACATGCTAAATGAACATGATTTTGCACATGTTCAAAAAATTAGGGGGTTTGCCAATAATAAAAATAAAAGTGCAACTGGATGTTTAAACACTGAGAAAGAGCTCAATTGAATCAAAAAGTCTTCTATACCTTACGCCAATTTTATACTAATGTGGAAATCTCTATGTTCCATAGTCATTTTCTCAGATATTACTTTTTTTGATAAACGTCATGAAGAAACCCAGTATGTTAATAACCATACTCCCATAGCATCCTTATCTTTGAGCTCATTGTCATTCAGAATTTTCACCACCCCACTTCCAAATGGGTAAAATAGAGCTGCTGAAGCGGCAGGTCCATATATTCCACTCCCAGGAGCCAACTCCACTCACCTCTCCCTACCCTTTCACCCATAGGGCAATCCATGAAGCCCAGTAGGCAGCTAGTGAACTTAGCTTCCAGAGAAATCACCATCTGTTATTCTACCCCCCATAAATAAAGTACCCCTGCTTTATAAATTCACATTGCTCGTGGGACCGAGACCTAGAATGAAAATGGAGATAGAATTTTTGTCTAATTTAATGGCTTTTAAAAAAATTTCTTGGGTAGTAAGTTTATGCTGCAAGAATCTATGAGCTACACAACAGTTTGAATTTGATCTGGTTCAAATAATGCTATCATGTCCTAAAATCCTGGGCATTGTACACTTTCCAAATGTACAATGTCATCACGGTTTTACAACACTTCCTACAAAAACTCAATAGTCAGACAGCACTTCATCAGTTGAAGTTTGAATTCAGGTACGGGAACAGTATGCTATGGCTGTAGCATGAAAACCATGCTGCTCCTCTGACTTTATTATCATACATGTACAATTTTCATACATGTACATCTTTGTCCCCTACTAAAAGAACTTCGTATCTTGGAATTATGAAGTAGAGCCAAAAATATGGTGGTAGGACCAAAAATCCATTCTCAATGACTTCTGTTTTCCAACAAAAGCTTGATCGCAGATATTCTGCCACCTGAATAAATAGATATTCTCTGTTTATTCAACTTTACTTCCTTCCTCAAGTAACAAAATGCTTAGAGCATCGGTCCATGCCTGCTCTCCAGACATATGACTTGTCCATGTGGCTTATGGAGTACACAAGACTTCTGAGACCCAGGGGTCTGAAGGTAAAGCTGACAGATACAAGGTGCAAGCCCAGCTTCGCCAGGTTAAACATGGCAATGAAAGGAGCATACCCAGTTCTATTGGCATCAAAACACATTGCTGGCTGCCAAAGAGTCTAAGAGAGAGAAATATTAAGTAATACTGCACCTCTGACATTGACATGAGTTTATTATTCTTCCATGCCAACACACCCTAATCCAAAGGGTGTGTTCCAACCCAGGCCTGCCCTAACACAACCAATTACTCTGAATGTGGTCAAAACTCTAAGGAGTTTCCAGTCGCAAAGACAATGTTTCATTGGCCCATTAGCTTCTATATTATTTCCACATTTTGAGTCAGTTTCTGAATTGTGTGTATCACTTCTTTAGGGATTGTTTCTCTTTCACATTGCAGGTATAAGAGAACTCCTGCCCCTTCACTATGCCGCCAGTGGTTTTATTTCCTCCCCAAATGTACTGGTAAATACTCGGCGAAAAAAACTTGAAGCTGAACAAGCTCTCCAAATATACATGAAATATTTCCAGATCCATTATCTACATGGTTTAAATATGTGGGATTATGATCATGTTGCCCAAAGGAGACGAAAAATACAACCAGCTTTGTTCTAGAACTTCCAAACTAGTTCTTTTGAATCTGGCTGTGGGGGAGGTTTAAAATTTTTCAATATATGCACATCAGCAAAAATGGCCATTTGTCACTTCTGCATTGAAAGTGTCTTCCCAAAATCTTTACTGAGAAAATTGTTGCCATTCATTCCTCAAGAATGAGAGTGCTTAGTCTCAACTCCTGGTGAAAAGAAGCAATTGTGATGTTCTTCCTCAATTCACTCTCACATGTGGTGTTACCATCACAAAATCTGAGGTCCAAAGGAAAAGGAGGCTTATTCTCTTAATTTGCAATAACGATTTTATTCTATTTTCACAAATACAAAAAACTTGCATCTAGGTTGCATGACCTTGGGCAAGCCTACCATAAGCCTCAGTATCCCTCAGTTTCCTGGGGTTAATAATTGTACCTGCCTCACAGGGTTACGGTCAGGAGTAAGCAAAGAATGCTCATAACGAGTATAGCAGAGTATCCAGCATACAGTGTTCAATATAAGTTCAATAAATGTCAGCTTTTGTTATCGTTCACTGCTGGGGATTTTATTTTATTTTTTAATTTTTTGTTTATTGCAGTAACATTGGTTTATAACATTGTATAAATTTCAGGTGTATATCATTATGCTTCTATTTCTGCATAGATTACATCATGTTCACCACTCAAATACTAATTACAACCCATCACCACACACATGTGCCGAATTATCCCTTTCGCCCTCCTCCCTCCCCCCTTCCCCTCTGGTAACCACCAATCCAATCTCTGTCTCTATGTGTTTGTTTATTGTTGTTATTATCTACTACTTAATGAAGGAAATCATACGGTATGTGACCTTCTCCCTCTGACTTATTTCACTGGGGATTTTTAATGAAAAGCCTTCTTTTGAATCTTTAGTACGTGCTCCAAGAACTGCCACTGTAACTGTTTCTCTGTTAGTCCCACCTGCCCTAGACAGTCTCTTCAATTCAGGGGTCCTCTGTCACCTCTTCCCAGCTCTCTTCTAATCATCTGTATCAATTAGCTGGAGCTGCAAAGGAGGGATCCAACTACCAGGGCTTTGTCTGTAAAGATGTCTACAGAAGCGTATTAATAATACGATCCATCAGATCACCAGTATCGTGAGAGTGAGGATGGAAGCCACTGGCGATGGGGATGGATTCTGGGTGCGCAACTTGTGTAGCTGCACACAGCCACACATTCAGAAGGGCGCTATACTTGGTTTAATGATCTGCTATTACCATCTGGAAATTGTCAACACTTTTTGAACAAGGGGGCTCACACTTTATTTTGCACTGGGCCCCATTTATGTGACTGGTTGTGAGTTCTGAACAGACAGGGACAAGAATTGTTTTATGTGTTGAAAGGATTACTCCAGCTCCTGTGTTAAGAACAGACTGTAGGAAAGGTAAGGTTAGAGGCAGGAAAAACAGCTAGGATGCTGTTGATATAAACAAAGTGAGAGTGATGGTAGCAAATGACACCAAGGGGAGAGGTCAGTGAGATTCCATTTGCCTGCAGCTGCAGCATGAGTGTGTGGCAACACGCCTGTCTACGGCAGTGTCCTGGCCAGCCAGCTCCTGCTGCCCACCACTGGTTCCCTCCCAGTTTCCATGCTGGCTGCCTGTTAATCTGAGAGCCCTATGTCTTTTCATTACATTTCTTTTTCATAAAAGAGCAGGTGTTGGTTTCTCTTTTTGCCTATCCTTTTCCTAGGGGAAGGCAGGGGACCCTATGGTCCCACCAAACCTTTACAGAGCAGCAAATGGGAATTCTCCAAAGGAAAATCAGGGTGCTGTCACAAAATCTGGATCCCCTACAATGGAGAAAATGAGCTGCTGAAAGAAGGAAGGAAAGAAAGGCCGCAACCAGGTCAAGCACCTTCTGTGTTAGGTCATTGTAGTCAGAACATTCTACACGTTCTCTCTTTGATTCCCATTAAGTAATGAGTGTAAATGTTACCCCTCTCCCCCAAAATCTGTAAGGGTTTGGCAGGATAAGATCTACCAAAGTTTTATAAATACAAAATGCATCCAAAATACCTTTAGACCCACAAAATACATCGCTCAACTCTCAGTAGGGAAAAAGGAAAAATTACCTAACTTTTTAGGCTTTTTATAATTTTAGACTTACACCTAAATTTATACCATTATTTCTATGTTTAAGCTGGCAAATGAAAAAAATCATCACTACTTAGTTTTCAGGTAATCAAATAGAAAATTCATCAGGCCATGCTAAAAGTGACATGATACAACCACCAGTAAGTTAAATACCAGTAAGTTAACAGTTTAAACTTCCTAATCTAAAATTCTTAAAAAATAATTTCTTCTTTTCACGTGCTCAAAAATTTCTCTGAAATGACAAAACATGGATGATACCAATTCCCATCCTGAAGGCCGTATGTCAGCTACTCACCTTTTTCTGAAGGACATTGATTTTTCTTTCCTTCACTTCTAACATATCCTTCATGTCACGAATCTCTCCGGCCAGCGTCCCCTTCTCTTCCGTGAGGTCCTGTAGCTGTTTTGTTTTTTTGTTGAGAAAAGATTCTTTCTCTTCCAGTCGTAATCTCAATGCATCTACCTGAAATCAGGAAAAAGAAAGAAGGTTGCAGTTTTACACAGAGGTCATCAGTCACCATCAGTCATGCCCTGGGAGGAAGGAAGGGCAGCAGTATGCCTTCTGAGCACAGCATGATCAAACCTCGATCATGGGCACCTCGATGCCATGCGTTTTAACAGCCTATATCTACCTTAAATGTGTAACTGAAGAATGATACATTTTTTTAAAATATAAGGTTTATATGAAATAAGACATTATGAAATAGTCGCATGTCTCCATACTGTGAAACCATAAGCTGGGAAACACAGCACACTGATACTCTGTCTTTGAGAGCCCAGGGAGGGGACAATGCTGCTAATGCTCTGCAGGACCCTCCAGGAATATGGAGAACACAATGAGCCATGCCACACACATCTGGAAGAACAAGATTGACACACAGAGAAACATTCTTAAACTAGAAAAATACATGTTGCCAAGAGGAAGTAAATACTGTGGAAATGACACCCATTCTCTAGCTTTATGAAAGACTGCTTTCCAAAGACTAAAGAAGAAAAAAAGACAAAGCATACAAAAAAATTCCTATTTCTACCTTAGCTCAAAAACTAGATTATTACAATTCTTGCTTTTTAAATGTCAGTAATAAAATGAGGAAACATAAGTTTTATTTTTTAAATTTAACATTCCAAAGACCATGTGCAAAAATGTTTACATGGGTGATGTGGGGTATTGGGGTGATGGAAGACTTTACTCCTCACCTTTCACACCAGGCATTTGATAGATAGTAGCTACATCAACAATCAGGAAGTAGCAATGCACACACGTTATTTAGAGATATCAAAATAATCAGGCCAAGAGTTAGAACAGCTTGCGTTGGGGAAGAAGAAACGGGACAGAGGTAAGCAGGGGGCTGCTGAATCTCATAGCAAATCTTGTTGAACGTTTTGCTCATTATACTACCAGCAAGTAAAAATTAGATGAAAAGGAAAAAAAAGACAAAAGTAAAAAAAAAAAAAGGCTATAGGAATACCATAATAAGCCAAAATAAATATATATGTAAATACTATGAGGACACAGAGTCAAAAGGCAACTTGGAACAATGGGGACACTTAGGTTTTATGCTGGGTTCTGCGTCTATCTAGCTTTGAGGATCAGGACAAATTACTCTCACCTCCCCTCATCCAGCCTTCCAGCCTCAGTTTCTTCATCCATAAAACAAAGAGGTTGGAACAGATAGTCTCTAAGTGTCTGACATTTTATGATTTTAAAGGCAGGAATCAGACTTCGATAGAATACATCAGGGAAGGATGATGATATTAGAGATAAAAAGTTATCAGAGTAGAATCTCCTTTTCTTACCCTTTTCCAAGAAAGGAGTGCCAAGTTGTGATGGGGAAGTAGGTGGGTAGAGAGTTTTCCAGTTTATGACCCAGAGAGGAGGATGAAGCTAGGAGGTCCACAGCAAGGGAAGAGTGAAGCCCAGTGGGCAGAGTGACCCTGACTGTATCATGAAAGAGCATGGACATTCTGTGACTGCAGAGGGTGAGAACTGCAGATTCTTTAAACATCTGATAGCTGTGCCTCTTCTCACATAATGGCCATAGAGATCAAGGGGCTGGGAAGGTGAAGGGGATACTCGTGTTCTGGGGATCTTTCCTTTCCTAAATGAAAATTCATGTCAGTTCACTAAAGCTTAAGCATCCCAGATTGTCAAGTGACCTATCCTCGTTTAAAGTTATCTTCATCTGTCAATCTGAAATAACATCAATATTTCTCTTTGGGTTTTCATCATATCTGGTGAAAAATTATGATTTTTAGTTTATACATAAAGGATGGCATTTGTGGATTCCTTGGAAATTGGCGGGACATGCTGAGCACTCCAGATTATAGCAGTGGTTATAAAGGGTTACAGAGATTTGCACACAGACTGACCAGGACTCACTGTAAATCTGAGAAGAAACTGTGGTCCTTTTAGCTCCACATTCTAACTATCAATGATGGATGGTTTATATCTGGACTAAAGGAAATGTCTAATAACCAAAACTGTGATATAAATAAATTACAATATAGGAGGTAGTGAATGGTGCTGGAGAGAGTTTGGAAAAAGAGGCCTTGTATTGATGAATAATATGCTTAGCATTTGTAGCACCTTCTCGCCATGTGTGATCTATCAGTGTCCTGACGAATCTTCCTGAGCCCAGAAGAGATAAAAGCAACCCTGGCTATAAGAATATTTCTCCAGGAATAAAACAGAGAGCAAGGATGGTCGAGATCAACACACTACTTGCAACACCCAAACTCTACATGGCAGGAGGGAGTCTGTGCCAGCTCAGGTCTTCTGTTTGGGAGTTTATTTTCCATGCGCCCAAAAGCATGTACTCAGCTTCAAAGGAATTTGAATTGTGCCCTTCAATCACCTTCACTCTATCTTTACAGCTTTGCAGTCTCCTAGAATCAAGAAAAGAAGCCTAAGTGTCTTTTTTTTTTTTAAGACAAAACTCTGACCTGAACTGCATCCAGTTCTCAACCAACATTAGCCCAGTTTGCAGTAAGCAAGTATGACATCATTTCTAAAGTCAAATTTTAACTTCCAGATGGTGCAAAACCACAAGCAGGCGCACTGGCCTTCTGATGCACAGAAGTTTATATTCAGGGAAGACCAGACAAGAAAGAATACAGTCTATCAAAAATTAGAATATGTAGTTCCAAATTGGAGGATTTGGAACGAGCAGGATTAAAGTTCCCTTCACTAATATTCAGACTTCACTCAGTAGTGCACATCATTTAAAAAAGAATTGGAAAAGCCTTGAAGTTTAGATTCTATTCCAACATCAGGTAGAGACATAAACTTAAAATGTTTGGGAATATGAAATACCTTTCTCTGCCTCTTCACTCAACACCAAATAATTTTAAGGGCCCTTGACTCTCTCTCAAACTTTGGCAGTTGACTCAATAATAAAACTTGGCAAAGCAAAGAGCACCATCATTTCCCAGAAAAACAAAAGAAAATTAGAACTGTATGATATCGTTAGCACATAAAGACCCATAGGTTGAATTTCCAGTTTTTACCTATGACTTAACTGCATGGGAGCTAGTCACCTAATGTTAAAACTAGGACAATCTTTTCAGTTTAGGAGAATTACTCATTTCCTTCTAATCCAGTGTGTGTATTTGGGTGTGTGTGTGTCTGTGTGTGTGTAAGAGCATCTAACATATGAAAACTTAACCTTTTATCTGGCAGTATAAACATGAAACATTTGTTATCACTTCCGTTCCAGGTAATAACTTGAAAGAAAAGGACCATGGCAATGAAATTGGCAAAAATTGCCAAAATCAGAGTTAACATTATTAATCTTCATGTCAGCACCCAGAAATTACAACCAGTTCCAATGGTGAGGTATGTTTCTAGAAGTTCTATACATAAGCCTCCTGACCTCTCTGCCATATTTTACATGGGCCTTCAGAAACAGTTTCAATTTTGTGACAAAACACTAGTGCTACTTGATGTGCCATAAATAATTTTTAAAAATCAAATGGTTCATTTCAATCTTAAAATGACTAGAGCAACACTTGAGGGAAAAAAAAAAAACACTTGAGAGAGAAAAAGGGGCCACTTGAAAATTTTCACAGATTAAATACTACTTACTGGACAACATTTCAGGATTTGAATAAACATGCTATCACAAAGAACAACTTTAAAAGAAAATGAAACTGGAACACACACGATAGCTCCCAATATACTTTTATTTTACATTCAAAGTTTCGTTTGTTTGTTTTTCCTAATAGTAGACTTGAGTTAAGGGTATATTTGAATTTGATTCAACTTGCAATCATTCAAATGGGGAGACAGTTTTAAAGTTGGACGTATGCATAATGTACACAGCCTCTGAAGACAAAAACACTAAAAATAATCTAAAATCCAAAACTTGCTGGGATAGTAACCACTAGTTCTCACTCACATCCAGTTCTCCTTTCCCTCCTGAACACAGGGAAGATCTTCCTTAGCAGCCTCCTTGCAGGAAGATGGGGTCGTGTGTTTTATTCATGAAATGTAAGCAGAAGTGACCAATGTCACTTCCCGTCTGTGCCACCCCCATTCTCTTCCCCTTCCTCAGAGATCTTGGAGGCTACATTTTTCAGAGAGTGAAGCTACAAGATGGCAGAAGCTGTATAAATCTGGATCCTCAAGTGACCATGAGAAACAGGATCGCCCCCCTCCTTCCCTGACACCAATCCCCAACCCTCAATGTGGGTTGGACTTACAGTATGATGCGTTAAACTACACAGAAGTTATTACAATAATTTCCCCTGATTTTGCTAATAAGTGGGCAACTTAAAACTAGAAAGGCTTGTTTGTCTTAGAGATTACCACGAACCTAAAGGAAATAGGGCCATTGTACCTCCCTCTACTCCTTTTATGTATAGGACCTCAAAATCAACTTTCCCCTATCCTTTCACTCCAAATCCAAAGAAGGGAAAAAAACAACAGAAAGTTAAATGCAGAGCTAAAAAGAAGTAGCAGAACCCTGAGGAGTGGACACAAAGGTTAAAGATCAAGACCCTGTGGAGAGGAGAAAAAGAGATCAAAGAGGAGGAGTCCCCTTAAGCTCATTGCCTTGAACTTCAGTTTGTATAGACAAGTGGCTCAAGTGAACAACTCTGTCTTGCAGAAGTCTCTGCATTGCAAATATACGTGTTCAAGCAACTCATGGCAATCGCCATGGACTCACCCACAGGCCTTCCAAATGTTGGGAACAAAACTAAGGTGTTATAAGCAAAACGAGGATAATAACAGTACCTCCTTCATCAAGTTATTTTTAGGATTAAATTAAATAACACATGTAATGCAGTTAGCACAGTGCCTGGCACCTAGAAACACTCAATAAATTTTTGCCATTGTTATTATATTTTATTATTCTGCTTTCCACAGTCTCTAACCCAGTGATTTATATACTGTAGGAATGCAATAAAGGTTGCTAATCAACAGCCCTCAGGAAAAGTGGAGAACCAGCAAACAAGGTTTTG